CGCGTAGGCCGAGGCGAGTCAGAGCCTGCGGAAGGAAGGGGAAGGCTGAGGAAGGCGTCTAGCGGGCAATGGGAAGCTCCTGACTGCTTGTTCATCTCGGCTTCCTAGACACTAGGTGCGCGCGCGTGTGTTACAACATTATGGTCCTACACCTCACCTGTATGAGTTCATTTCGAAGAATACTCTCGAACTTGAACTTAGGGAACTTCAGGTGAACTTTACTCGGAGTCAAGTTCCCGACGGCGGAGGCGAGGGCGACGGGGGTGAGGCGCTGGAGCATCCGGTCGAGCTCACCTCCGGTCTGTCTGTCCCGCGGGAGGAGCACGACCAACGACGCGGCGCCTCCGCGGTATGGCAGCTCCACCACGTCGGAGTCTAACTCCTCCGAGACGCCTGCAGGGGGGGAGGGGGAGGATGACGGTAGGAGAGCCTTGCAAAGGGATATTATAGCAATTCAAGATTGACAAGCAAAATTCAGTTTTGTTAGACCTAAATGTGTCTTCTTTTACTAACAAATAGATCAAAATATATACATAATATTTTAGCGTCTAGTAAACGATGTATAAAACAAACAATCAAAATGTTCTCTACTTTCTCTTGTTAAAAAAAATCCAAAGGCAACAGAATAACAGAATATAATTGACCACAAGACAATATCAATTTTATCAATCCTCTTAAGTCTTTAAATCCGACGAACTAGCAAGAACAGACTCAGATTTTCCGCTCACCTACTAAAAACGTACATAAATTAAAAAAAATAAACGAATTTCAACTCTAAAGAGACATTACCGAAACCATACATCCCCGTCCGGTCCATCATGTCGACGAATGAATGCCGCCCTGGAGAGACATCAAACCTCTCCCGAGTAGTGTCTCTCGGCGAAAACTGATGCTCCCAAAAGCCCTTGAAATAGACAGCATTGACAAACACCATGCGAGCCAGAGATACGTCCAGCGGGTCCACCAGGTGCGGGATGTTGCCTCTGGTTCTGCTGTTGACGAACTGGTTGATTTCTGCAGCAGCGAGGTCTGCCTGTGGACGGAGTGTATTTAATTTTAATGTGTGTAAATATAAATAAGTCTTGTATTATGTTTTTTTTTTTCTCATTGGTGGTGAGTGCAAACTATTTGGAAACACGGTGAGAAAATAGGCACAGAGATTGGTAAATAAATACTTTTGCGAGTAAATCTACAATTAATAGAAAAAAAACATATAACCAAATGCTATAGTAACAAAAAAGTATTAGAAAGAAATAACATTCACCTATATTTGTTTTTCTTATTGGTAGTGAGTGCGAACATTTTCGAATTACTTTAAGGAAAAAAATAAGATTGGTATATGAATACATTCACGAGTAAATTACATAGATAATAACAAAAACAGATACGCAAATACTGTAGTAATTAAAACACGAGAGAGAGATTAACAAATAAACACATTCGTGAGTAAATTACGTGAATAATAGCAAAAGTAAATACCCAAATAATGGAACAACAAAAAACGAGAGAGAAAGATAACTGAACAAACTCTCACCTGGCTAAAATCTACGTTCTTCACTTCGTCAGGGAGAACTCGCGCCACGCATTCATAGAGAGGCAAAGCAGTGTCAACGTAAATCCTGTTGGCTGAGTCTATAGTGTAATTTTCTGGTGATTCGCGACTGAGGGAAAAGGGAATATGAATCACTAGAGAGAAAAGCCTTAGATTTTTTCGGTTATTGAGTATTATTTAAGATTGGATGGTGGTTCAGGTGATTAGGAATTACGTTGATATTCTTATCTGCAGCGGGGATGGCAGGAAACATCAAGGAAATGAATAGCCAATGTGTTAAAATGAGAAATACCATCAGGTCCACATGTAATACAATTTTAAAAGAATTGGAATGAGTATGAATGACTATAAGGTAAGTTTTGATTCTGAAATAAACGTGATTTAATTAAACGTGTATGTGTGTGCGTGCGTGTATGTGTGTGTGTATGGGTTCATGTATTTATGTCTACATCTGTATGTTTAACCCTTTCCACCACAACAAAATTCACATTCACATTCGAAGGTCAGAAGCTAGTCCAGCCTTGTGAAATGCTTCTCTCGCAGTTGTTTTCTCCAAACACCTCTACAGTGTTTCCTTGACACGATACTCACATCTGCCCCAGAGCTCTGTAGAGGGCGAGAGTGTCGTCCTTTGTGGTGAGTCGGAGGACACGCTCCATCTGGGTCTTCGTGTCGCCTCGGGAGCCTAAGTAGGCGAGGACGAGGGCGCTCCAGACGCTGAAGGGGGAGAAGAGGAAATTCCCCGACGGAGGGACGACTTCCCTGAACAGGTCGAGACTAAAGGGCGTGAGCTGGCTGAGACTCGGGCGAGGCGGAGGGGGCAGGTCATCCTCCTCCGACAGGCACTGGGAGCGAACTTGACCCCAGAAGTTCAAGATGACGACAGCGTAGTATACCCTCATAATTCTGAGATGAGAGAGGCGAAATCAACGATAGGGATAATAATCA